ACTATTTGAAGGAGGGGACTTTGTTCTTTAAAGATTGCCTAGATTTTAGTTCCAAATAGGAAGATTAGGAAGTCGAATTGGAAGACTACTATTGGAGATAAAAGTCAAAGAAAACGATACCAAGATGTCTTACGTAGTTTTCTTGTGAAAATTACACAGTGATACCTTTCGCGGTTATTTTCCCAGTTTTTATTTAAAAACTACTAGTGCACTCACCGTTCAAATCTGCTCCTTCTCACATAATGTGTTGCCCTGTTCCGATCAACTCCCCACTCTAAGGCTGCCAGGAAAAGCTTATCAACGTTCTCATCGTTGGAGAACAACACGGTCAAGTTCGGAGTGCTGTGATCCCCAACCGTCAAAAGAATTGACATCGCTTTGAGTATCAATGCTTAAGAAAAAAAGAAAGAGTGATTTTTTGTTGAAAACGCTGGTATGAGCTTGCTTAACTAGGGTTAAAATGCCTCGCAATCCATGAATGTTTATTATGAAATCAACAATTCCAAATTTGTCGTCTAACTATCCAATTTTGCAATTGTGTTTTGAAATTAGTCAACATAAATGTTCCAAAGATCTGGAATTGTAAATCCTGGCTTCAATTGCTCCACGGCTAGGCCCAATTCCTCGCTGAAAACTGGAGGACGTCGCTCCTCAGAGTGAGTGGCTCCATCCGAAAAGTAAGCCTTAAATCATCCAATATCAGTTACCACTCTCTTCTGCTATCACTCAAATTCCATAATAAACTGAGGTTACCACTGACAGCAAACGCATCAGTTCGTAACTGCTTTTGCTCAGCCTCTCCCTCTTCCTCCTCCTGCTCATTCGCCACTTCTGTTGAAGCCTCCCGCGGAGAAATCTAAAAAAGCATTCAAGGTGCTAATTGTTGTAGCAATTCCTTGACTCACAGGTTTATCCTTCTGGAACGTTACTCCAAAAATTGGGCGTAGATTTGAAGCCTTATGTAAAGCCTGGATTGCTTTACACACCTGCTGAAGACGTTCTGCAGGGTCAATGCGGAAGCCAAGGACATACTCTCCGCTCTTCAAGCACAACTATTACCTCCACCCAAAGGTCTACTACAAAAGGCTCTCACCTGAGTTGTGGTTTCGATAACCAAGGCAAGTCCAAACTTCGATTCCCTTATTCTACATGAAAAAAGTTGCAGATATGGTACCGAAACGTTGTACAGAGAGTTCGTACTTGCGAACCACACGAGCCGAACGTTTGTGATAATGAAGCAGCCCAGCGTGCCCTGTCAAGTAACTGTGGGTGGTAGATTGACTGAATCCGTCCGAAACTAACCTGATCGGTACTGAGATTCCACACTCCATCGACTTTATCAACCAGATGCTCCAAAGGCAATAATTTGAGATTAAGACTATCATCCAAAATTGCTCCACGCATTTTCAGCTCTCTGTATAGTTTTGTGGTCTCATAAGCGCGATGAACAGAGTTGACAGTATTGAACAACTTTGAGTGCATCTATCAAGGAATATGTATTTTCCAAATCAGAAGTGATAAACTTTACAAATTTGCTTACCCCACTCGTCATTGCGGTAAAAATGAACTCGAACTTTGTAGATGTACTAGGTGCGCGCGCCATTACATAAAGAGCTTCAACTTCTGTTCCACGTACCTTCTATACTTCCATTACTTGCATGATAATTCGGAAGATTCTCTGACATACCGAGACAACCTCCCTGCTTTGAAGTCCTGTGATGTTACTGTATCCTATCGACAGGTTTATCCTCGGCATTGAGCTAGCATACCAGATTAGGCGCAAGTTTGTCACACGCATCACACCTTCACAAAGAAGAACGTCCGTGTCAACCACTTAATGGTAATATCACTCACCCCGATCTCCATTATTCCCTTTTGTGTCTTCAACCATATCCATTCGATCAATTTGTATTTCGCCGGGTACAAGTCGCAGCATTCTTAAAAAGCAACGCTTTCCATAATCTTGCACCGAATTTAAAGATGCTCTTTTGACAATCAAAATTGGGCACTCTACCTGTGATCGACGTCGAATCTTATATCCTTGTCTTGCCAAAGCTCATCGCCATTCACCTTTTCTCCAGACATACA